CACATGTATGATCTGTATATATTTATAAATGCTGCCTTACGGCACAAAAATTCAGAGACAAAAACTTCTGGTACTTCACTAGAAATCTGACAGGCGGCAGCAGTTTTCACGTGGTTAATCTAGTGAGATCAAAGAACGGACGGTAGCAATAACAATGCAAAAGAGAGCCGGAGGTGGTATTTGTTTCGAGGAATCAAGTATTTGATAGAATGTAGAATAAGGAATATACTGCTTCTTGTTTCCTTACGACAAATTTTCATATGCACTGTTTTTTTTTGACACATCAACATCATCATACCTAGAACTTGACTCTATCTCTTGGCTCTGGAAAATAAATTATTACTGTATATTTCTTCTCTCACATTGGCTGGAAAGACTTGCAAATATTAGAAAAGTTCATATCTGATCTGGCTTCTTTCTTAACAAGTTTATGATCAATTTTATTTGAAGTTGAATCATGGTACTCGAAGTTTACTTTCGAGATAAAAGTCGATTAAAACTTTTGATGTGATTTTCGTCTTTCCCCTTCGTCTTCTTTGGAAGTGGAATGGAGTTCAATAATGACAGAGCGCTACCTGGCTCCGTGTATTCGTCATCCGATGGCCGCTGTCTGCTAACTCAAGCCGCCCCGGACTTTACTCGGAGACTACGCGTTGAGGTATCTACAAGAGTGATGACTTGTTTAACGATTAACATTGCTTTTTATCACAATGAATTGTGTGAAGAGGTTATGATGCCTATTTCTCTTCAAATTATTTTTTATTTTATGATATGCTAAACACAATGCCCGGAATTTCACATTAGACGTAGTACTGAGCGCAGTGCACGTAATCAAAGCTGCTCTCCGTTAAATACAGTTCGGATGCGCGCGCAACTTGTGTCACTGAAACTGTTTGAGTATACAATTACGCTGCAACTACCAACGTCGTCACATATGTTTTTTGTCCTGAAATGCTTCGATGTCCGAGTATTCCTTCCGGTAGGCCGCGCCATAGCTCAAGCGGTTAGTCGCTGGCTTCCCACCGCGGCGGCCAAGGTTCGATCCTGGGTCTGGTCAAGTGGGATTTGTGGTTGACAAAGTCGCACTGGCGCGGGTTTTCTCCTAGTACTTAGGTTTCCCCTGCCGATCTTCATTCCACCAAATTCCACATCATCATAATCACCGGGGGTAGGTACAATAGGCCAATCAGTGGCCGCCGTGCCGAGTGGACTCAGTTGGACTCCCCCCCCCCCAAGCGAATTAAAAAAATATTTCTGGTAAAGGTAAAATTGTCCCTGTGCTTAACTAATTAAGCACTACGTCAAGAAGGCGTGTGGGAGAGTTGATATATAGAACCATGTTTTCTTGTCTACGGCACTAGTTGGAGGTGAGTGGTCAGCTTCACGCCCCGGCCGCTTTACCTCCTGGAATAGAGCTCCCGGTACACACTGGATAGGAGGCTGGTTGGGCCTCAGCGCCGGTCTGGAAGACGTGGAGAAGAGAAAAATTTCTTGCCCCTGCCGGGAATCGGACTCGACCCCTCGGTCTTCCAGCCCGCAGCCAGTCGCTATCCTGGCTCCATTATTTATGGTAGACTCTGTATTTGTACTACGTCACCAAGAGGGGAAATTCTGGGGTAATTTCTGTGACTACACCCTGGTACATATTACGAATACGCTAGATCTTTATGATGTATATGATCGTAACATTGAATTTTGTGTAGTTGACTCTGGTTCTGTGGAGAAGGGCTGGGCGGGACTGTCTTGGATCCGTATTTAGTTGCAGCCTTTTACAGTAGAGATAATGGGACATAACTGATTCTGCTACCCTGGAGTAAGTTGCAGAACATTGAAATTTCGTTCAATATTCATGTTTTGTAGTTGTTAACAAAGGCTTGAGGTTCGGCCACACAGCGCTACGTACGCTATGTTCGCTATACGAACAGAAAAATATTTCCCTTTATTGCCAGTGTGACTGGCCACACAGACTTCCGTACGCTGCGTACGCTATGTTCCCTATGTTAGCTGCGTCGCAGAGTGTACACAGCGTACGTAGCGAACATAGCGTAGCGCTCCGTGTGGCCGAACATTTACAGTATATTTTACAAATAACTGTAGGTCCATTCAGTGACCCATCTCCATATAAATGCTTCACGTGCGGAATTCAAATGGTTTCCATGAAATGGCAAACTTGTAATAGACGTGTACTCTTTGTTTGAGCTTCTCACAGCTGTGGCTATGAAGAATATTCTGCGATATCATACTGTGTAGTACAATGGAAGTTCGCAGGCATTTCGAAGGAGTGTAATGCCTCCCTGTTTAGCTTTGAAGAGTGAGCCCAGAAAGTTGGTCAGCAAGAAGCAGAAAAGAAAAAAAAAAGTAAACCATTTGGCTGCCGCCTGCTTGTTCCTGGCTACTTGCCTGGCTCATTCTTTAACCCTGTAGATGGAGGAATTATGTTCTTTCGAAACGTCGGTGAACTTCTTCCGGACTCTGCGGCGTTACTTCCTTAAGATAGTATTCTTCACATTGAATGTACATATTTTTATGTATTAATGTTTTCGATTTGTATGCAACAAAATGAGGGTCACAATCTTGCAACCGTTTCGTTACCAGTTCACACGGCCATCATGTCTGTAGTTTAGCGAGTAGGAAATTAAGAGGCATAAAGGCGAAGTGGTCTGCAGTGGCAAGAAATTTGCAAAGAGTTTTAGACAAATAAAAATTAATTCAAATGATCTGAGTTTGGACATAATGATTCCATACAGCCGTGTTGCCTTAGTGACAATAGGCTCAGAATCACGGATATTACTGTCTGAGGTTCTCACAGCGGTGGTTATGAAGAGTTCTACCTTCAGGGATATAAGGCCCTGTAGTCTGTTTGTTACCTTCTTCATGCTAGTGTTCCTCTTGGCGTAGTCTTCGACCGTGAAGGTGGAAGTGACATGTTCCCCGAAACGTCTGTTCACATCCATACAGTGTTATATCCCAGAGAACAGAACTCTTCACTGGTGTTAAGTTTGGCACCAGTAGTTACAATGTCTCAGATAAATGTACGTAGATTGTCGGTATAATATGTTGTATTGTAACGAGTACAGACGTTGTTTTGTAACAGGGGAATCAACGAACGGCCATTTGTAGGTAACGGATTGGTAAAACGCCTACAACAATAGAGGAACTTTTGAAAGCGGTATTTTCCGTTGAATCCGCCACGAGGCTATATAACGATGACCCCAAGCCATCTGATAATAAATGAGAAGTGCTGGCAACGAGTTCAGTTGAGAATTGGCAGTTGTCAGTTTGGATTGAGGGAATTGGCAAAAGATTTCTGCACGGGTGGCTGTAACAAGAGGAACTGAGGGCGAACTGAAAAATCTCAATTGTTAGAAGCCGCTACCAGGGAACGGCTGGTTAAGACATAGCAGATTGAAGAAGGGTTAGCGGGTGCTGTAGTGAACTGCAAAGTTTGGAGATTAGCGATAGCGCTCTAATTACTTGTGATTCCGAGTGGTGTGTACATGTGTGCATATATGGTCAATAAATGCAATATCTATTCCATACCCCGTCTATAGTCACAACCCCCAAATACGTGACAATATAATTGAATTAATCAGTAGCGAAAATGAAGGCAAACAAATGGATTATTTTAAGTAAAATTATACATTTTATCTCTTGTAATGTGGCTTACTTAGGGATGAATACACATGCGAACAGTTCTGGTATTATGGTTTCTATACCTACCACAAACTCGCGTTTTAATGTTTCACCATTGTCGACATGTCCAACTGTTTCATAAACCGCACATTTCACGAACTTTCCAGAAATAAAATGAAGTAACTTCAGTTATGCGGAACTGTGAAATATGGATACATCACATCACTGTATATATCGACCTTCCGTTGAGATCTCCCAGAACGGAAGACTGCACTGCCTCATTGGAAAACTTCCCGAGTCCGTCTCCTTCTGGTTCCTCAAAAATTATATTTTACAGCTTATCCGTGGAAATAGTCCGTTCTGGTAATATTAGAAGGAAAGTTGTTTCAATAACTGCCTCATTAAAAAGCGGTGCTACAGTGAAACTTCAACTGTTTTAGTGGCGTCACACACACGTGTTGACTGTGCAAATATTCACTTCTTAGACGAAATTTAAGACCACTTCGAAGTGTCAGCTCGAAGCTTCGCAAATTCTTGCATCCCCAGTTGTGCACGCCGTAAGGTTGCCCAGGTGAACTGCAGCTAGTGCACTAATTGTGCCGAGAAACTCCGGGGCTTACTAGTGCCTCTATTTCATGACTAGGTATTATTTTGAGAGGGTGGGGAAAGCTGTGGGCCTTAACTTCGAACACATGCATTCGCTTTGACTTCATATAATTTTAACAACATTCAGCAACCCACGTAGCATTAATATTGGCTGGGTTAGCTGGGTCTCGAACCGATGGCATTTAACGTTTAAGATTTTGTACCGTTCAGAATGTTTTGCGTCCTCATCTCCTGATTAGAATGAAAATCATAATCTATATAATAAGAATATCATCTGTTGTTCAGTGCGCCTGTATGTATTTGGATTCATGTTGCTTCGGACAGCATCCACTGGCGGACACTTGTGAACACTGCGCAGAAATTTCGAATTTCATGTGAGAAGATGATTTTCGTAACTTGGTTAGCGTACAGCTGATCGCAGTGGCCGCTCGGTCTAAAGCATAACTGTCTTCCCTCGCTCGAACGCTGGGATCGTGGATTCAAATCCCAATTAAGGCATGGATGTATGTGTGCGTTTATTCTGTGTTTGTGTTGTTCTGTGTGTAGGTGACTGCCTTGCGACGGGCTGATCCCCCGTCAAAGAAGCCCTGCCGACTGTGTATAGTTAAGAGTTTGAAAAATTATTGTCTTTTTTCAGTAATAGAAATTTAACTTTAGCACTGAATTCTGGAGACATGAGGGTTTATTTAAATGAAATTAGTACCCGTATGCAAATCGCTATTGATGGATTCAGTGAGTTGATGCAGTTTCTTTTGCTGCAGTTGTAACGGTGGACATGCAGGCGGTTGAGGGAAAAAGTGTGGAGCTACCATGCAATGTGACTCCCCCGGGCCACGACAAAGTCTACATGGTGTTCTGGTTCAGGGACGACGCAGGCATCCCCCTCTACAGGTAAGTGACAAAACTGTCACGTGCACTTCTGTAGTGTATCCAGGGTATTCCCCGTTCATTGAGCCATTCATCCATGCCAGTTCTTCTGCGTTTGTCATATCACAGCGGACTCAAATCTAATTGTATTTCTTCTGTAAGATGACACTGAAAGTGAGGTTACTGGTTTCGCCGAAAGCTTTATATTGTACACTCTCAGTAAAAACTTGTTTTCGGAGAACAGCTGCAGTACCGGCGTTGTAACTGAAATTGAGTTTTTTCTCTTTTGTTAATACTTCTTGTTGTGTGTACATATAGCAGTGATAGTTCAGTCGGTTTAACGATACGAACTGGACGGCCGGGGATTGTTTCCCGGCAGGAGTAAGAATATTTTTGTCTACTCCGAAACGCCCAGACCTAAACTGTGGCCCTACCAGCCACGTATCTGCATCTAGTTCCGGACCCCATATGTCTTCGTGGCGTGCTGTTTAAGTAATCATGGACACAGCATCACTTTTAACTTTATTATGTATTCAGTCTGTATGAGTGTTTAAAGTAACTACGTGAAATGTAACTTAAAAGGAATGCATATAAAATATTGGTGGGAAAGCCAGAAGGAAAGAGACCACTGGGAAGACCAAGGCGTAGGTGGGTGGACAATATTAAAATGGATCTTAGAGAGATAGAATGGGATGGTATGGGTTGGATTGATCTGTCTAAGGATATGGACCAGTGGAGGGCTCTTGTGAACACGGCAGTGAACCTTCGGGTTCCATAAAATGCTGGGAAATTCTTGAGTAGCTGCAGATTTGGCTTCTTATCAAGAAGGGCTGAGCTCCATAAGTAAGTACATGAAATATAAGTTACATTTCAGACTGTTGTCGAGCAGGTAACAGGGTTGATGTCCGCGCCGTGGCTCAAGAGGTTAGACGCTGGTTTCCCACCGCGGGGGCCCGGGTTCGATCCCGGGTCTGATCAAGTGGGATTTGTGGTTGACAAAGTGGAACTTGGGCGGGTTTTCTCCTAGTACATCGGTTTCCCGTGCCAATCTTCATTCCACCAATTTCTCCATCATCATACTCACCCGGGGCAGGCTACAATAGGCCAATCAGTGGCCGGCGTGCCGAGTGGACCACGTTGGACTCCACACCCCCCTCCCCCCAATAAGCGAATTAAAAAAACGCGTGATCATTAAATTTTGGTGTTCGAAAACAAGTTTCAGTTTTAGAGGAGCCAGAAACATACAACCTCTTCACAGAGGACTCTGGACTTTAAAGTCTGTACGTACACAAAGAATGTTGTGGTAAAATCTTATACTGTAAATAAAATATTTCATATAAATTTTGCTCTGCATAAACATAGGTAATCATATTGAGGGACAGTATCAAATCCGCGGTTTGACGAGGGCCTATTCTAGTGTACTTCAGGAACACTGTCGTTATAACCATTTTGCTGCTCTCTGTGTGGAATGAGTTACTACTACTCTTATTTTCTCATTTAGTCAGCCCTATACGGCCATTTCTCGACTTACGCGACGGTGCTTTGCTGAAAAATATCGGGTAAATCATGATTTAATTTCCAGGATAAATTAAGGAAAAGGGAGGGGTGCGCGCACGGGCCGAGCCAACCCAGAGGGCTCTAAATATTTATTCGTGTAAAATGTTTGCACGCGGAAGCGTAGTTGATTGAGATACTGTGCAACAAGCCGGAAGGTTGTGGGTTCGATACCCGATGAGGGCATTGGATTTTTCAATTAACCTAATTCTTCCAGCCGCACTATGGTCCTGGGATCGTCTCAGCCTCTAACAGCAATGAGTACCAGGAATATTCTTGGGGCTAAGTGTTGAAAAGATTTCAGAGAGAAAAATTAAGCAGCCCTCAGCCGCCCTTGGAGTGACTGACCCAAACGCAACGAAATAAATCAATTGAGGCGAGATCGTTTCTGAGATATTGCCAGCAGGAGTACTGCACCGCCATTACTGTTATAACTCTTATGAATTTGCATGTAAATCTCTGTCTCCTTCCTTCAATCGAAACTTTGATATACAAAAAATCGCCCCTTTCTTCTCCCTTGCACCTTCATTTGTAGTCCATGAGTACGGCGTGTAATAGCAGCTCTGTCGTGTCATACGCCGATACCGTTACCTTGCATATGCCTTAACACAAAAGAGAAATAGTTACCAGAACACCCGTTTCGAATCTGGGCCTCATTATCGCCTGAACTGACCGCCGTGCTCAAGCTCAGTATTGAAACAGGGCGCCGCCTCATTTTGGGTGGGGCTGGGATAGCTCAGTCAGTATTAGGCTTTGGGATGGGGCGCAGAGGAATTTGCTTTGATCCCTGGCAAGTGCAAGAGATTTTTTTTTCATCTCGTTGTAGCCCAGATCGGGCTATGAGCCCTATGCACAAAGCGCACTGGATAATCTTTCACCGGTGATAACGCGGCAGACACGTGAAGCTGAACACTCATCTCCTATTGTCGAGGTGGAGCTCTACCTCCACTACCCACATGTATTTACTTCTAGTCGATTTATTTTTCTTGGCACTACATCCCCAGTGGGCCATGGCCTACCTCCATGAACTTCTCCGTTCACTTCGGTTTTTCTAGATCTTACACATTCGGTAGGACTCCTTGGGCGGGTGATCAGCTCGTCGCAAGGCCTCTACCTGTACACAAACACAGAAAAACGCCCGTACACAAACTAAACATCCATGCCCTAAGTGGGATCCGAACCCACGATCCCGGTTTCCAAGCGAGCGAAGACAGTACATGCCTTAGACCGCTCGGCTACCGTGGCCGGCGGTGTATAAGAATAATATATAAGAATTCAGTTCGTACCTCACAGGAAACAGATCCGAACCCACGATCCCGGTTTCCGAGCGAGCGAAGACAGTACATGCCTTAGACCGCTCGGCTACCGTGGCCGGCACTTCTAGTCAAATACCTGATCATATTTTTATAGTGTGCGTCCTGTTGTGCGTCATAATTACGTGGTTAAGTAACGTATCCGTCAACACAACAAAGGAAAATGTATCACATTAAATCAATATCTCATAGATTGAATTTTATTGTTTGCCGCTACTAGTTTCGGTCTTTATGGGACCATCATCAGGCAATATATATAACACATACAACAAAGTTAATTTAAAGTCCGCGCCATAGCTCAAGCGGTTAGTCGCTAGCTTACCACCGCGGCTGCCGGGCTCGATCCCGGGTCCGGTCAAGTGGGATTTGTGGTGGACAAAGTGATGCTAAGGCGGGTGTTCTCCAAGTACTTCGGTTTCCCTTGCCAGTCTTCATTCCACCAAATTCTCCATCATAACCACCCGGGGCAGACTATAGTAAGCCAATCAGTGGCCACCGTGTCGAGTGGACCTAGTTAGATTCCGTCCTCACTAAGCAAATTAAAAAAAAAGTTAATAGAAATCTCAATATGGATCCATATTCTGGCGCAACGCGTCTACATTATAAAAGCTGTAGAAAATTGTGCCTTGGGTTATGATGAAAATTATAACATAGGAAAATATTAGAATTTTGAGAGTACAAGAATTCGTATTTAAAATATTAGTGGAGGTAATCAAAGGTGTTGTACAGTACGAATATAGGATTTTATAATACGAATACAGCCTTAGATATTACACGAGTAAAATTACTTAAAAATTTAAAGGTATTAAAAATATTAAAAATAATAAAATAATATTATAAAATTGTGGAAATATGAAGTTAATTCCTCATATGAAGCTGAAGGTTCCGATGTCTGGCAGATCATTTGAATGCACGTTGTCTTCAGCCTCTCATCATACGGATGTTGCTCTCCCAGAGTTGCGTTGTGTTGTGTTGAATGAATTATGGACCTGGGGCTGTTTCAGTGGGTTAATTTGTGTGCTAAACGTCCTGGATATGGGTCGTAATGTATTGTTATCTCAATATGTAGAAGCCTTCCATTTGTATGGGCGTTGTGTGTGTCTTGGCTTGATTCTAAGTGGACTATAATATTTTTAATATTTTTCTATATTGTAATTTTCATTACAACACAAGGCACAATTTTCTACAACTTTTATAATAGGGACGTGTTGCACCACAATATGGATCCATATTGAGACTTCAATTAACTTTATCATATTTATTATGTACACTGCCTGATGATGGTCCCATGAGGACCGAAACATGTAGCGGCAAACAATAAAATTCAATCTGTGAGATATTGATTTTAATTGTGATATTAATTTCCATGTTGTGTTGACAGATGCGTTACCGAACGACGCGTGATCATACTCCTGTTTCATTCAGGTTTATTAACTGTGTGTGTAGCTGAATCATAAGTATCATTTGATGCAATTAAATTCTATATCATTAACTTACTCACCACACAGGATTATTTAAAAGTAACGCTCTAGAGTTGTACAAGTGACAGGCTGAATATCTGTGTTGAGGTTTCTCGTGGTTTTCTTCAAACTATCCAGCCTAATGCTTGGATTATACTTCGATTAAGCCACGACCGCTTACGTACAGATCCTTTCCAATTTATCCTCATTCATCACTTAGCATACCACCCAAATTTATATTATCTTGGTACTGAAATCGTCGTTATATAAAGCAAGAAACTTTACCGTTACTGATTGGCATAGGCTTGCCTCGTGTAGCATAAAGGCGCGTCCACATTACTCGTGCTCGTGCTCATCGGGAGACTCCTCTGGCTTTTACTTGTGCTCGTAAATCATCGTCCACACTACTTCAGTTGCTCGCCAGGCTTCGGCGCGTGAGGATCCGTATATTTACTCGTAGTGTGTATAGGCTGTAGTCGTATTTTAATTTATTGGCTATTACTTACTTACTCATGGAGCTGAGCCCTTCTTGAGGAGCCGCCAATTCTGCAGCTACTCAAGAATTTCCCAGCATTTTATGAAACCCAAAAGTTCATCACCGTGTTCACAAGAGCCCTCCACTGGTCCCTATCCTGAGCCAGATCTATCCAATCCTTGCCATCCCATCCTATGTCTCTTAAGATCCATTCTAATATTG